AGGGGGGAGCCATTTCGTTGCCTCTCCTATGAGGGAGGCGCGAGGCGCAGGGGGGATCGGAGAGCATTTCTCCGATCCGGCCCTGTGATCCGCCTTCCTCCCGGCAGTTTTGCATATGGGGCAACAAGGGTGACGTTTACACGCCTTCCCCTTGTGCCCCTCCTCTCCGCAGTGAAAGCAACAGAGGGCCCTATCCACATTGGATGGGCACCTCTGCTGCGTATGCCCCCGCGCCAGGCAGCGGAAGCAGCGGGCCGGTTTGCTCGGCAGTAGCTCGACCCGAACGTTGGACCACCCAATGTCGATCCTCTCTGCCTCCGCCACCTTGATCATGGCCCTCGCTGGGCCTTGGGTCCAGACCGTGCGCTTGCCGATGTTCGTGGCGCGCAGCGGTCCCACTCGAATCTCAGATTTGGAGCACCCGCCGCGTCGGGAAATCTCCCTGCGGATCTCCTCCTCTGAGACCAATTCCTCCACCCCTTTCAGGCGGAGGTTCAGCCTGATTGTGGGCCTGGAGACCCTTACCCCCTCAATCCCGTGCTTCCAAAGGGCTATTTGGATTGCGGAGGTTAGGCGACAGGCCTTCGCCTCCGCATCCCGCCCTCCCCCCGGTACTTCCACGAGGAATTCTCCTCCGCGGGTTCTCCTGGCATCGAGCCTATCGATGCCAAGTTCCCCCAAGTCGATTTCCCGCCTCGCCACGGCCAGTGCCTCGGATAGGTTGCCCTGTCCGGCGAACAGCACTGCCGCCGAGCGCGGGAGCCTTCTCCTCGTCGCCCTGACCAAGTTTCCCTTGGGTGGTGCTTCACCAGGGGTTCCCCTTGATGGACCCGGCCGGGCCCGACTTGCAGAAGTGGGGGGGCTAGGCCCCATCCCCTCCTTCGCAGCCCTTCCCTTCCTCTTATTGCGCCGGTCAACGGTGGTCCATTCACTGGGATTATCCGTTGCCGGCGCAGCATCCCCCTCCAGTGGAGGATCCGGGGGATTGGCGGGAGACCCCGTCGAGGGTTGGGGAGACGCACCACCAATCCCACGAAGGACTGCCCCCCCGGTTTCCTTCTCCCCTTTTTTTCTCTTCTTCCCCCCCTCCCCCGTCTTGAGCGAACCCCCCCAGTGGGAGGCGCCCGAGGGCGGGGAGAGGCAGGGGACCGGAGGAGGAATAGGCCCAGCCGCTCTCTCCTCGAGGCCCCTCAGCCTTTTGCCAAACCCTTCCAGGGTTTTGGCGATTCCCGCCAGGCTTTCCGCTAAACTCGGGTCACCTGGCGGGTGGAGAAGGGGAGGGATCCCCCCACTCCCTGCCACCTCCATCGCAGTCCCCCCAGCATCATCCGTGCTGGGGGGTGGGCACCCCCCTCCACAGGCAAATCGGGTCTCTCGCCGGCCCTTAGGTTGGCGAGCTCCGCCTGTTGCTTACGAGTCCTGCGTTGGAGACGGCTATTCTCAGCCTTGAGGACCTCCATGTCCCTCTCCAACGACAGGACCTTCTCCCTCCAACATCCGGGGTCTCCGCCCTCAGAGGCCCTAGCGGCCATGGTCCGAACGACCTCTCTGAGGACGTAGACCCCTAGCTTGAGCTTACCGCTCAGCTCCCCTTTTAAATTTGCGGCACGCTGCCGCACTTTCTCGATGGAGAGGAGCCCCTGATCAATGTTTCTCAGCATCTCCTCAGTCGTGCCCCTCTCCATCCTCCTAATCTCTTCCTCTGCCTTTCTCTTCTGCGGGCCGGAGAAGTTGGGCGGCGCCACCTCCGCAAAC